GAGCTCGAATATATATATAAAGAAAATGTAAGGATAAAACTACTGATAAAAAAGTTATTGCTACGATGCCTTTCTGTAATAAAATGAGATGATCGAAGCGAAAGGTGGATAGATCGTGAAATAAAAACGCGGCGAACAGAATAAAAAAATTTCCCTTATTTCTCTCTCACATACATTAATACTATTTTCGAATTATCGTTCCAATATAACAGATTCATATGAAAATTGTAATATTCCTGGTGAATACTACAATTTGCACTATGCAAATTCACGATGTTTTTCGAAGAAAGCACCCGCGTCTCTCAACGTTCTTCATCCAATCAACATTCCAATATGTATATATGTTCTGCGGCTCAGCTGTGCGCGCGGAGGAGATAGTTGTCATTCACTCTTACAGCATTAATACAACTTGTAATTAAGTCGGTTAATTAAGTCAGTTAATTAATATCATTTATACTTGAAAAATTTATGACCCAAATAGCATTTTCGTCTAGGCTTAATTCGGAGATGCGAGCAGGCATAAATGGCAAGCTCTGAAAAACTGTGAGATTTTTCCAAGACAAGTATTAAACGATAACTAATTAAAGAGGAAGCAATCTCAAGAATTGTTAAAATCGTTTTCGGTTTTATGCGTATAAACTCTCTCAGAATTTTCACTTGTACCTCTTCGCATCCTCCAGATCCACGAAATTACGAAAGAGCGATCCGCGGAAGCGTCCCGCGCAGCAATGCGTAGTAGCGTAAATCGCGATAGGCACCGTCGGTCGCATCACCTCGTGTTCGAGGCACCCAGGAGTCGCACGATTCTTACGCAATACGGTGGATTGCAGGCGTAAAGCGATTACGCAGTAGGCAAGCAAATTTCACACTCGGACAGGTGGCCGAAATGTACAATAGCATAAAGAAATGAGTTCCTAACCGGTATTTCTGCGATACCGCGAAGAAATTTCGCGCGAAATGTAAAAAACAACTGTTGATAAAGTAAACTGACGAGACATCGTATGCGTATTACAATCAAAATGACGATAAATCAATCACGAAATTGTAACAATAATCGCGTAATATATTTACGCAACATGATTTATTTTTTACAATATGATCGTATACTTAATAATACTAATAATCGTACACTTAATAATACTAGAAACAGTATTTGATTACTAATAGAAATATACAATTTTTCTGAAAAAGACAAAGTTTTATCATATTTTACTTGTACTTTGATATTGCCGTAATTACCGCAGCTGTCATAATTTGTGGTTTGGTGGTGTTGTATTATAGGTGTAAGGCATTTTTGTCTCAAAAAATTCTTTGGTCTAAAGATATCTTGCTTATAGTTTAAATCCCGAATGAATAGCGACCATACCGAACGTAAGATTTTGATAAGTCACATTTCTGAATCCTGCGAATTCGATCATATTCTGAAAATATAACAAAGAATATGAAGAGCAAGTATAAATAAAAACCGCAACCTACATTAGCAAGTTGTTAAGTATAATAGTAAAATAGGCATAATAAAGGAGAGCTTAATGATTAAAATAAAAATAGAATTAAAATGAAACTACAGAAAGTTCTAAAAAAATCTCTCCTTACAACTCGTTATCGCAGTTTATGTGTGTACGTATAAGAAAAAATAAAATAAATATAAAGAAGTATTCTTTACCTTAAAATCCTCTTGTTTTGGAAATCTTCTTATGCTCTCTACAAGATATCGATAAGGTTTCCACTGTCCTGCGATTAGTTGTCCCATCACAGGTATTATTTGAAAGGAATATTGATCGTACAACCTGAAACAGACACCAAATAAATTTTTCTACAGATTGGTTCATGTATAATTATCTTTTTATAAGTTTTCTATAATTTAAAGGCATATATACCATTGTAAAGGTTTATTTTCGATATGACTAAATTCTAGGCATAAAAATCTCCCTCCCGGCTGTAATACTCTGTATGCCTCGGACAACACCTGTGTAAAAATAAACATAGATATATGTAACACACAACATAGATATGTTTAATATAAATTTAATATTCAGATGTTAAGACCTTTAGCTTAAAATGTGTAGCAGATATTCTTTAAAGATTAATAAATATAAATTTCATATACTTTAGTATCTTCATACAATGAATGACTGATTGAGCGATAAACTCATTACAAGCACCTTGTCAATACGCGTCACATTCCTTATACCAAACCCTATGGTATAAGCGGAGAAAAAATCATCCGGGAAGGAAAGCTTCTCCGCATCTTCTTGCTTCCACGTGATATCGCAATTAGCGTCCTGCGATAAACCTAGTCTACTCGCCCGTTTCTTCCCAACGTCTAGCATATGTTGATTTATGTCACACACAGTTACGTGGCTACGCACATTGTGCGGATTTGGCGTGTTCCTCAGAAAATTTATATACCGAAACGTAATGTCGCCCGTGCCACCGGCAGAGTCCAGGAGACGGGTGCCGTGCGTAGGTCCTAATTCTTGCATAAACATATCTTTCCAGATGCGATGGATACCCAGACTCATCGTGTCGTTCATCAAGTCGTAAGAATTGGCGACATTTTCAAATACGGTATACACTGCAAGAAATATTCAACATTAAGTGGCCGTTGTACATCCAAGATTTCAACAAGCTGCAAATGTTTGTGATCTCATCCGCTTGACAGCTGTCAATCTTTCACGGAAAAAAGAGAGGAACAAGAACAATAGAATCTTTACCTTCCTTTCCTTTCTCGCTCTCCTTAACCGTTTGAAAACCGAAGTGCGTCGACCTCTCATCGTCCTCCGATGGTGTCCTCGCCTCTTTCGAGTAACCGCGTCCAGCTGCAGCGGCTTTTAGACATCTGTCTAGTATCCGACCTTCCTTAATGATGTTCGCGCAGAGATTTTTACAAGCCATCGTACCAAACCACGTGTAGACGATCAGGTAAACAGTGCCGTATGATCACATGGAGATCACATATGATACTTGACACGTTGACACTGGTCTGTTCGTTTCACGTGCACTTCCCGCACTCGCGATTGTCTCTCTTCCTTCCTCCGACGTCGCAGTGTAATATATCCATCTCGTTTCCGACGTGGACAGCGTGGGAGACAGCGTCGCAAGGTGCAAATCAGTGCAAATACAACAAACAAATCTCAATGGTCGTCGCGTGTTATCAATAGGGGTACTCAAATAAGTTTAACGGTTTGACAGGTTATGTCGGGTTAAAGTCGAGAAAAGTTAATTTTTAAACTTTGGGCGCGCTACTCTTTGATTATGCAAAATACATAAGTGACTCATTAACCTATCACATTAATCTTTGGGTTAAAAGTTTAAAAATTAACTTTTTATCCGACTTTAACCCGACATAACCTGTCAAACCGTTAAATTCTAACTTATTTGAGTACCCTTAATGTTATCAAAAAAACACCGATAGATTGTGTCAATTGGCTGTCGAATGGAGCACGTCCCAGGGTCTGAAAACTTTTTCACCTGATAATCAATCGCGTCTGGTTATTGCAGGAGCACTGCAGTTAGTTGCTGTCGGCAGACGACGGTTGTGCGGTTGATAAGCAGCAGTCCAACGTCGATGGACCCGGTAAATTGGAGTGAACAACAGGATGCTCGGCTTTGTTCTGCCCAATGTCCAGAGAGTCGTCTTGTCCAGTCCGGCGGTGCGTTCCTGGCTGCCTTTACGAATGCCACGGTAAATATCGATATTTACAATACCGCTTCTGCGCTGTACTTCGATCCCCCCGTGCGAACACACTGTTGAGGGTGAAAAACGCTGGTTTAGGATTATGGTGCGTATGGGTGTTCGCCGATTCAAAATTGCAATTACAATTCACCTTGAATGACACCGTGTATTTTGGCGTTCGCCAAGTGGCCTTGCGCGTCGCTCGCGTGTACGATTAAAAAAAGAAAGTTTGGTCTGGAGTCTACTTACGTTAACGTGCTTCCCAATATTTATGTGAAATCTTCCACATGTGAGATATCTAAAGGTTGTTGAAAAAACAAATCTACGATTAATAATGTGCACTTTATAATTAGCGCTGCTTTCCATCGCGATGCCATCACTTTGCAAACAGTAGATTTTGTATATTTAATATCACACCTGTGTGATTTTAGGCATAATTAATTTTTATGTTTGTTTAAATTGTTTAATTTCCCTTGAACGTGACCTTATTTTAAGAAATATATTTTCTGAGGAAATATATTTTTATTTTAAATATATTTTCATTATGGTGCAGTTTGATGATGAAATTTTTGCGAGTACTTATACCTCGTGCCTCTTTATATCTTATACATCTTATTGTTTCAGATTTGAAGGCAAGAATCCCGGTTTGAAAGTAAAATAGCAAGTATTTTAAACAATTATCAACTGTTAAAGAAATGCTGTTAACGTTTCTTTATATGATAGCCACCATCATGCAAGCACGAAGGATAACATTTCTAAAAGCGCACTTAGATGCCATCTTTAAGGGGAACCAGAATCGTCCTTCTTTTACGCTTAAAATTAAGTCATCTCGACGTTTAAAGAAAGGTAATTTTTATATGTATACACATATGCCAGATTTTATTATACAACTAACGAGTAACGTTACTTTTGCTCAATGTATACATAATGTGGTCTGTGAATACCATAAAAAAATATCGCAAATAGAGAGAACTTTGTATCGTCAGAAAATTTATTTCATAGCCATGTTTTTATATACATATTGAGATTTTTAATTCACATTTATTAAAGGAGAAATATTACATCAAATAAATATGCATTGAGATAATATTGTATATTTATATCTTGTATAATGATTTTTTTAAGATCGCAATGGATACGAGCAGAATGAAAAGTTTTTGAGTTCTCACTTATGTACTAACAAGAATCTCGCGAAACTTGATGAACTATTGTGGTATGATGAAAGAGCGAAATTATATACTATATATCCACAAGTAAGTACAATATATGGCAAATATTATTTCACTTATATTTGCAAGTGCGATAAAATGAGATTGACAACTATTATTTTATTTTAGCAAAAAGTTGACGTATCTAACTGGCTGACCTGTCCGTATGGAAATTCGTTTCCCCTATATATAAATAATAATTGCTGTCAGGTTTTAAGCGAATCTGACTTGCATATTCTCGTGGAAGTTGATATTGAAACTTACGGATCTAAGGCCTCAACGACTTCTGCAAAAGTACAATGTTCAAGTCTTTAATTATTAATTTTATTATTATGCATTCTGCATGTATAACTATATTAATTGTGTAAGCCTTTGAATCTGTATTATTATTTTTCGAATAAGTGAAATTCAAGATTTATCTCATGTTCTACGCATTGTTTTACAGCTTGAAGATTATGGTCTAATTGTGGCATGGACGGTATCGAGTAGAAATATGAACTTTATTTTAAAAACAGACCTAGAACATATTACGAGCTTCATAACTGGGATCATGCAGGGACAATATTGCATTAACAATGGCTTATTTATAAAACGTGTTCAATGTATATATCACTCTTGCATCTCGAAATCTAACATACTTCGATAACTTGACATTCACTTGCTTCATTTTGCTTTATTTTTTTTCAGCTGTTTTGGTATCGGGAAAACCGCGTATTTACAGTGATACTGGACACCTCGGTCCACCGCCAAATAAAAGCAAGTTGTAATAATTTAACTCTTGTATTTGTTGCGACGTATCTTCTAACGTGTAATGATTATATCACTATATACTTTTTACAGATAGTTTTTATGCATTATGCGATGCAGCCCAAGGAAAAACTTCCCAGCAGAAACACAAGCCTAAAGAGGTTGTTAGAGTACGTGGCATGAGTGTACATTCACAAGATAATAATTTGAACACCGAATTTACAGACGAATTCTTTGCAGAAGTTATGAAAGACATTGGTATGTTGGAAGGATATTACGCAATTGCCCGTAAAAAAAATTCACAAGTATAATTTTTATTTTTATATCTCTTAGATGCTAGTTCATCTAATTCTGCACCAGCAACATGTAATTCGTCACCAACCAAACAGCATGTAGGATTAACAAAAAAGCCATATGATTTGAACCATTTACCGGAGGATGTGTTCTTAGCTGTTACTCAAGGCACATCTAAAAATTATACTAACGTTCATTTACCTGACACGGAGAAAAAAGACAATACCGACGATGAAGAATCTGAACATACTGATCAAAGCAAGTCTACTAGAGAAACTGATTCCAAGTTAGTATAATATATCTAAAAGTAAAAAAAAGTATATATGAGGGTGGAGAATATTTAATGATATACTTTCTGTACTCATATTATGAACAATAGAAAAAAAAACGTGATTTTTATGAATCATATTAATTTACAGAAGTTCTGAATTGGAAGAAGAAGAAAAACCTAGTAAGGTGATTAAACCACCAAATGTACTCGTCTGTGCGGATAGCCTAAGCGCGACCGACAATTTACAGAATTTATTATCAAGAGTGCTAGAGGAAGATAGGTATGTTATGTTAGTTTTATATTATATGGATTAGAATTTATAAGTTTTAATAAGTTGTTAAAACTTAATGGTTTCAACAACTTGCTTCTGCAGTTAATTATCTATTTCAATAATTAGTTATGAACGATTGATTTATCTTTTCTAGGTATGTCATCCATGTATTTTCTAAAGGGGAATATGATCGTTGCAAGGTTTGGATAGATCAGGTTTCGTTGGTTGTTCTTTGCGGCAATGTTGGTGCAGAGCTCGGTGCTCATCTTGTAGAATACGTTATACGCGGAGGTAAACTCCTAGCGTTATGCTCCGACATGCTCCATATTTTGCTACCATCGTTCAAGACTGCGGAAGTGCGTGAAAATGAGCTCGTTGACTTTTCGTACGGTAAATGGAAACGAGTGCGTATGATGCATCACATTTTTTGCTACCACGCATCTCCCATACGAACTCGTTTTTCTCAAGATCACGAAGATATAAGGTAATATCTTCTCTGTATTAATAAAATAAAATATAATTATGTCGCGGGGGGAAAAAGAGAAAAATAATATCAGATTAAAATAGATATGAAGAAAAAGTAATTATCCAAGATGTTACTTTTGTAGGGCGTCTGCGCTGAATCCTCCAACGACGGCTAGCGTTAAGGACAAAAAAGGGAATTTACATTCGTTTGATGTAAAAGTATTGGGCAAAGAAGAAACGTGGCACAGTCCAAGCATATTGCTTGCAACTCTGCCTAGCAGTGGTGGTAAAGTTGTGTTCTCCCAAATCCATTTAGAGATAGATCCAATGCAATATGTGTACGAGGGGGATAAATTTGATGTGTTGAAGAAGAGTAATGTTGCACGTTTGGAGATAATCAGCGATCTACTGAGCACACATTTAGGATTAGATGTAAATCGTGATACAAGTCAAAGATCTGTTCGGTACACTCCAGGTTACTTTTTAGGCAAATTTGAGGTACATAAATATATTTAAGAATGAACAATCCTGATAATAATATCTTAATTATATAATTAGCAGTTAAATGCTATGATTTATTAATGATACATATGTACACATACACAATATGACGTTATACATTCGTAGATGAAGCTTAAGATGCTTGAAAAATTAAAGGATAAAATGAGTGGGAATAACGTATTAAAAATGTCAGGAATGGAAATTCAATTTTGCGCAAACAACGAAAATGTGCAATCACCATCAGCTAATTTCCTTCCTATTATGATGCATATGTGCCCGCCTAATTTCTCGACCGTCGATTATTTTGAGGTAAATTCTTCTAATACATTTATATCATTAATTAGTGTACCAACCTTCCAATATATTAACAATAGTGCATATTTAGAGATTAAATCATTTTATGCACTGTGTGTAACTTTGACATATAGCTAAGTGAGTTGAAAAAAAAAAACAATTTTCATTATTAAATTCGAAATTTATTTTCAGAATCTCTATACAAAGGAATTAGGACGCTTAGTAATATACGCGGATGTCTTAACATCATCTATGAATGCGATCGACGCTCGATTAGAACATGGACTGACAGTTATTCCACGCCAACAAGCAGATGGACGAGGTACTATTTTTTATTTTTGATTATATGCAGAAATAGTATAATGGCTACGTCATTTCCAGGGCGATATTCTAATAAATGGCTCAGTCCAAAGGGTTGTGCTATGTTCACTTTACAAATACATATTTCTATAATGTCGAGTATCGGTCATTATATCTCAATTCTTCAACATGTTGCTGCTGTAGCACTTGTGTCAGCAGTAAGATCTATTAAAGGATACGAGGTATTTTTTTTCATTTTTCTATTACAAACTATGAGAGATCCTCATCTCTATTTTTTTTTCATTTTCCTATTACAAACTATGAGAGATCCTCATCTCTATAAAAAAATTCTGACTTTTCATATAATACAATTTATTTTATGAAATTAATGACTAATAATTAATAACTAATTTATTTTAGGATATTGATCTCAGAATAAAGTGGCCTAACGACATATATATTGGTAATTCGATCAAGATTGGTGGTATAATCGTTTCTACGCTGGCGGAAGATGGTGGAGCAATGTTCATCTGCAATATTGGTATGTAACATCAATCACAAATAAAATATAAATTTTATGGATAATTTATCATAATTTAATCCACTTAAAACGAATGTAAATATATATTTCAGGTGCTGGTATAAATCTTTCCAATAGTAAACCCACAACTTGCATTAATGATGCAATTCTGCAATATAATCAAAAATATGGTACAAAGTTGGAAACGTTCTCTTGTGAAAAGTACTTGGCGATGGTATTCAATGAAATGGAAATTTTATTAGATATTCTACATAGCGGCAAAACAGATCACTTCTACCAACTCTACTACAAATATTGGTTGCATACGTAAATAGCCATCATACTTTAACTTCACTTTTTTAATGTTCATATAATAATATTTTCACAGTATTCACACATACGTACATACATATATTCTTTTTTAGGAATTCAAATGTCATGGTAACATTTATAAATGGAAGAAGAGAAAATGTTACGATATTAGGTATTGATAATTACGGATATTTGTTGGTACAAGGAAAAAAGGGCATGTTTACTGTACATTCAGATGGAAATAGTTTCGACGTTCTCAAGGGGCTAATAGTACCAAAAGAAAAATAGGGGATTATATATTCGTTAATTGTTACCGAGAATTATATCTACATGTTAAAATATGGATAATAAATATGTGTACATATAACAGTTTTGTAAATATTAGTACACACGTATCATGTATTACATACATATATTTTACATATGTACATATATAATATAAAGTTCTCTATATATGTATGTATGTATATATGAATGTATGTACATATGCATAAAACTTCATATTATATATGTGTATACGAGTGTGTATATATGTAACATATAATACAAAATTATACATACACACACGTGTATGTATATTATTTTTTTATTTGTTATATATTTGTTCATTGTGTTGTTAAGAAATACAGTTATGTTTGGAGATTTTAGACAAATAATTTTCTTTATTTTACATGAAATTTGATTCATTTTAATGTTCGATGCTCTGTATGCTCTACACGCGTAAGTATATACATACACGCGAAATGAAATAATTATACTGCATGTATAAAAAAAAATTTGTAATATCTTAATTTAATTTAATAATTTTTTATTTGAATTAAGTAATGGCTACTGAAATTACTTCGAAATAAATCATGTATAAAGATATTTAACTATATGTGTTATCTATTTCATAAAGTTTTTCTGAAATGACGGATCTGTGTTTTATAGCTAACATATAAATATACGTTGGATTAACATATAAAGGAATTTAATTAAGAGTGTTATTTCAAGAGAGTTATCTCGTGAACGACGGAGATGCAAATCTAATATTTAAAAATAGATTTATAAAAAAAATTATTGAGATAAAATGATAGCAAATAAGTGAAATCAATCACGCAGAACCATGAAATAGATATGCGGGATAAAAATACACTTAGGATAATGGTAAGATACATATTGTTAAACAATATATACTTATCATTAACTTAATATTATAAGAAACATCATACACAACGTATATTTATGCAATTACAATGCCATTCAAAAAAGTGTATATCATAACAATATTCACATTACCGCCAATAATGAATAAAATTCGATGTAAATAATTCATTATGTACATCTTTTTTTACGTACATAGTAAATCATTTACATGAATTGTCAATTTGATTCATTATTGACTACAATGTGAAAAATATAATTCTGGTCGCAGTATATGACCAGATACGGTAAAATATGGTAAAGAAAAAAAAATTGTTTTCCCTATTTCTCATTCAAATAAAGATAAATATACAAATTTAATAATCTAAACCTATTGCACGCTTATTTCTATCTAATTACATACAGTGTTATAATAATTTAAGTGTGCAAATAGATTGACGGAGTAGATAAAATACATTTTATATAATTAAATTCATATAAATTATCTCTGTATATGTTTTTCATTTTATTATGCTAATGCGTCGAATTCATAATCTCAAGTTGGCTATTTGCAGCAGCAATGTTTAATTAAATAAAACTGAATTTGGATCCTCATTGTCGAGCTGCTTTACATGCCTCAGAACGTCTTTCTTTGTAATTACACCTAGTAATCGCCTGCATGAGAAATTTTAATATTAGTTAAACACATAATGTGTTACTATGTTAATATAAATGATTTATATACATACCCGTTATGCGTAACTAGAGTTTGACGTAATCCCAATTTTCGAAACATATCAACTACAGTTTCCATGGGAGTTTGGTCTGTGATAGTGATAGGGGCCATATCCAATATCTTTTTTAATTTCAAGGGCGGTGGCGAATGACTTTGAATATTGTTTCCATTAGTAAAGACAACTAACGATTGCCTGCTAATATCTTCGATCATTCGCTTGGCATTGGCAATAGCAAGATTGAGGTCCCGTCGTAAAACAAAACCAACTAGATATTGAGATTCTTTCGAGACTATTACAGGAAAACCATTATGTTCCGTTTCTTTAAGCAAGTTCTCTACATCTTCAACCGTCATCGAATCTTGAGTAAGAACGTGAAGAGCTTCGTTTCGTCTAAAAGTTAACAAGAATATATATATATGTATGCATGCACACAATCTTAAAATATACGAAAACATTTTTACATATTATCGTTTTGTGCTTACTTGGGTTGCATGACATCCGCTGCCAGAGTCGTATGTTGAAACTCATCCTTGCTATCCAGAAATGGATATCCATTCAAGCCGATATGAGCATCATAGATGCCTTGTTTCCCGAGAGCATCGCCGACCCATTTACTCGCCATGGCTGCAGCCATTAAAGGTACGATATACCGCACGCCGCCCGTTAATTCGAACATGATGACGACTAAAGAGACCGTCATTCTAGTTACACCCCCAAGAACAGCAGCAGCCCCGACCATCGCGTACAGTCCAGGTGTTATACAGTCGACGCCCATGGAACACTCCTCGCTGAACATCCATATGTGAGGATAATTGTAAGCGAGTTGTTCCATTCCTATTCCGACGATACGACCCATTATCGCTCCCAGACAGAGAGAAGGAATAAACAAACCGCATGGAACTTTCATGCCGAATGTGAATATTGTCATAATGAGTTTTAATATCAGCGCCAGCACGAGTAGCCATATAGCTTTGTAGACTCCTGGACCAGCCGCGGCAATTTCGATTGCAGATTTCACAGCGGTGAAGTTTCTATTGTAATCACTGTTGAGCAGGAGAATTTCTCGAATAATTTAAATACATCCAATAATATATGTAAATTTTGAATCTTGACGATAAAAATTTATGCAATCGTTAAATTTGTGTATTTATAGTAATTTAAAGTTACGTGATATCTTCAATATAGAATAATTTGAATTAAATCACTAAATTAATATTAAAATCTTTCCTTATTTACTAACCATAACATATCCGCATTTGACACTCCACATTGGCTGAACAACAAGTAAATAAGTTGACTAGTGTTCATCCTTGTGTATGGATTAGGATATCCAATTACTGCTGTTACCACTGTTACAATTAACACTTCAGTAACAGGATATTGTCCCAGTTTGGAAGTTTTACGATATCGGCACCAAAATAAATTTGCTTTGATAAATAACGTTGCTATTATTCCCTATCGAAAATTCGCTCTTATAAATACATGCTTTTGAACAATTTTATAATATATAATGAAAGTTACGTACCCCAATTATACCGAGCATGACGAAAGGAATCAATTCAAAGAATATCCAAGGTTTATTATACTCTACATAAAACAGTACTGAATGTTCATTTCCAAATGGATTTATGGAGCGTAGTACAAAAGCAGCTATCAAAGCACAGAAGAACGATCGCCATAAAGTTTTTAATGGAAAATAATAACTGACCTAAAACAAACATAATTTTTATACCATAATTTCAAAATATTAGTACATTAGGCCTGTTTGTTTAGCTGAACTTGTTGCACAGTTCATCTATTCTCCTTTTTTCTCCAACACGAAAGGAAAAAGAGGAAAGATGAATCGTGCAAGAAGCTCAGTTAAAACAAACAGGCCTATTATTATTCATGTACACGTGCATACATGCACACATATAATTTATGACATTTTTTCTCGTTTTCAATTCTAAATTCATTTAAGGTATATTGACATATAATTAAAAATTACTCTGTATATTTTACTAAGATATCCCTAGCCTTGAAGAAACATTGTAACCGCTCTTTAAAACATAAGATTATTATATTTATTTTTCAAATACCTCTTCCAAGCTAAACAGGACACCGCCAATCGGGGCTCCAAAAGCGACGGAAACTCCCGCCGCGGCCGCGGCAGATAAAATTTCCCTCTTTTTTGCTTCATTCCTACCATATTTTGGAAATAGATAAGAAAATATATTTCCTATACAACATGCAATGTGTACCATGGGACCTTCCTTTCCCAAACTTAAACCCGCCGATACCGAAAGAATCAGACCTACTGACTTAATAATCAGTGTCCATTTACCGAGATATCCGCGAATAATAAAACCACTCAAAATAGTTTTTATCTGAAAAAAAAAGGAAAATATAAATAAACATTTAATGTAAGAATCATAAAGTAAATACATTAATTTACTAGATTATATATTTATTATACTATATTATTAGATTATGTATATTTCTGAAAAAGAAAAACTTGATAAATCTTTACTTCGGGTATTCCAGAGCCACAAGCGTAGGGAGCAAACATTCGCACTAGAGATGCAGAAAGTGCTGCAAACAGAAGCGCCCATGCTGTATAAAATAAATATGATATCGTATAAGGCCCTGCACCCTCTTTTGACTGACCAAATACTTGGGGCCATGTCCTCCACTACAAAAAAAATATTATATCTATTAAATTAACTAGAAAAAATTTTAATTAATAGAATATAGCTTTCGAAATTGTAATAAATTTGTGACTGAAATTGAATAGAGAGATATATTTACCTGTGAACAGTTTCCACCATCGAACGTAGTCTCATTATAGCTCCAACAACATTGCTCTTTATTTAGCCAGAAAGCTTGTGGACAAATACCGAATTTGAGATCTGTCATCCAGGAAGCGCCAATATCTATAACACCAGCCGCCACTCCCGTAAAAAGCCCAACTAGTAAAACACACAGCCATCCCGACCATGCGTCGTGAGCTCCTTTTATTAAACCCCAAATAGAATCGTGCTTCTTTTTCACGATATAACGATGTCGCATTCGATCCCGCGCGATATCCCGTTGCCAATCGATAGTATGGAAATCATCATACTGTCCGATGCCAGGTATGTCATCAGAGTCAACTGAAACTATAAAAATAAATTTACAAATTTTCACAACAATGAAATATATTTTTAATACTTGACTTTGAAAATTGTATTTTTTAATATTATCATTGTTATGTATATACAAAAAGGTTTAATGATTACATGAATAGTATCTCAGAATATTGTGTATATGTCAATGATTAGCAAATAATATCTTTCTTATTAGTGATAATTTATCATAATTTCTCTATCCTCAATTTATAAAAAAAAACCTAATATATATTAGATATAATAGTTGAGGTAAGATTTTAAAATAGAGCAAAACGAAAAACGTACACACATTACATTTAACTGTTATGAGTTAACAAAGCAAATTTCAGCATTAAATACATATAACACATATACATAAATACTTACCAGTTTTTCATTTTGTAATAAATTGTGGGATATGTATAAAAAAAGTGAAAAATGTCTTTGAGAAAAATACTAAATAAATCTTTGAAAATAACTTCATAATTAGAAATTAATTTTATTTTAATTATACATGATTAGAAGCACTTTACAAATTACATATCATATTCTGCCGAAAAGACAAAGACATCTTACTAGATTTATGCACATGAAACTTCATTTTTACAATCAGTAATAGTGTAAATACTTTATCCAGTTTGAAAAATATCTTATTCAGATAAATAGATTTAGAATCAATATATCTATTTGGTTATTATATCGAATCAATTATATTGTATCTATATAATTCTTTTTATTAATTAGTTAAATTGGCATTAGATTGGCAATTAGTCGTGTTAACTTACACATTTTGCCACTGACATGCCGCAAGTGCAAATAAATTTGGCTCGATTGTTTAACCGGTATCGCTCGGGATAAACCACAGATCAGATGAGCGGATCAACAGATAGGATGAACGGATCAACAGATGTCCCTCAAAGTTTCTTCAGTAGGAAGAGATAAAGTATGACGATATTTCAAGCTAGGGATACAGACACCAATAGGTATAAGACTACTAAACTCCGTGACAAAATTATGCAAATGGATTTACATCTAGTTTTGCAAAATTTCTTTTACACTTCTTTATAATGCTCGCTAAAAATAAATAAAAGCACTACGTAATTGGATCATTCGGAATCGTGCGTGTGCGAAATCGATTGAAATAAACTTGAAACTTACTATGGGAAGATGCATCGTCGATGCGGACGCAATCCGACAACACGTTATTATCCGAATGAGACGTGTGATGATTGATATCCAGCATGTCGTCGTCGCTACTTAGATTTGTCTCGCGTCTTACAGTTCCGGTTCGTAGTCGTACATCCTCTGTAATGTCACCATACTTTATATTCTGAAAACACAAGATTTATCAGCTATATCTACGGATTCTGTCTTCACTTAACAACATTGTCGACTTCTGTAGTTCAGTAGCTGTGGTTTAAACACTGATAATTTTAGAACAAAAAGATACATTAAACAAAGTTCATAGAGATAAAACGTGCGATGATTTTTAAATAATTTCAACAACTTTTAGTACATACGAGTATACATAAAATATTAATACATGCAAGAAACATATGATAACGTGCAGAACTGTTAAGGGAAAAATAAGATAAACATTACACATTTCACAAAAAGATATTGATCTAGGCACAACGGCCTATAAACGTGCAAAGCAAGAAGATGCAGATTGGAACCAACAACATACCTTTGCATCAACCGAACGATATGTTGTAACGGCATTTGCATTCGAATGAAGAATTGCCGAGTTCAAGGACGCTGTACCTTTCAGCGGAAACTTCTCCATGGCATCATGATAATCTAATTTTACACAAGCAAGATATTATTTTACCCGTTTTACCGTCTTGAAAGAGAGATATACAGGGATCCGTCGTCAAGACTCTACGCGGCAGAGAGAAATCGAGAGCTAACAGTGCCATGCACGGTACTAAATATTCTATTTACGAGCGCGTCATTAATATGTAGCTCAATCAGCTTTACTGTAATCCCTCTTTAATCCTCCAAGTGGACGCTACACGATATAACAGGCATGTTCTTTTCAGCTCAACTTCTTGCACAGAGAGCACCTCATCCTTTCTCTCTGTCTCTCCAACGTGAAGAGAAAAAGAGGAAAGATGAACCGTGCAAGGGGCTCAGCTAAAAAGAACAGGCCTAATTAGAATGGCAATATTCGTGATACAGCAAAATTGCTTCAGATACTTGATCCGTTATGGATTACACAGGTGTGCCATACGTTGTACAAGGAATAAAAAATTTCTTGTGAGAGAAACATCGGTTTTTTCTCTCAGACTGTCTCTCAACGATTATCTTAGTGATTTGCATCTTCTTGTTCGGAAAAGAAAAAAGAGATTTGTTAGAACATCGATTACACACACCATGCCAAACTGACACTGTCAAAAATGAAATGAAATCATTCCTGAAAAACGATTTCGAAACCAAGTGTAAAAAAAAGAGACGCACAAATAAATGAAATGAATACCACAGTACAATGCACTTGGGGACACCATATGACAACTTTTTCTCGCCCTCTCGGGCAAAGCGTGGACGTTACGAACATCGTCTCGCGGACGAGTCAAGCGCGAAAAGTACGTTGACGTTGGTCATGCTCTCGAAAACTGCGTATTTTTAGAGCCTACTTCCAAACTTCCCTTTCACATGACGTTTCATTCCTCAGGCGAGATGAGGTTATCTTGTCAACTTGTGTTGCACGCATACCGCTCGTGAACTTACCATTTTTAAAGGAACGTCCTCGTGTTTTATCTACATGCGCCGATCACTATGCCATGTCCAAGATTAGATTGTATCAGATCAATTTGAGAATTCCACGACAAGAACTCCGTCGGGCAGATACTCCACTTTACTCCACTATCACGTCCGATAGACCACCCCTTTCCCCTACGAAGTCAAAAGTAATTAAGGCAGGTTCTTTTCTTCTGCGCAAAAGTTGTGGCGCACAGAGAAGCGAGTTGACCAATCGTAGCTGAGAGTTTCGGAACGCAGCCTTGTATTCCTCGAGAATTCCTCGATTGTGATTGGCCTCATTTGTTGTATTGTTGGATTCTACAGATTAACATTAATCTCACTCATTTGTCAGTAATGTCAGTTTAATTTACTTTTTTTATAGTTTTAAGAATTTTTTTTACTGTTCACCTTTCTCTAATTTCAAGGATCAGAAAAAGATAAAAAATAAAAGTTAAACCGAGATTATATATGTTAATCTGCATTGATAGAAATTAACTAATTAATTAAAATAGAAGAACGCGCAGTTTACATTAGATTTGTTCATGTAGCTTGAAATTCTCAAAAATTCGTGCACTTAAAACAAGATAAATATACATTGGGCGTTGGAGAAAGAGAGAGCAATGATTTCAAGTGCAAAAAGTGCAAGCGACACGAACAGACCTATTTATCACGTCTACGATCGGTTTCCGAAACTCATCAAAAATTATATGAAGGCCAGAGCACGCGCTTTACTGCACTTTGTGCATTGCCGGTCGAGTGTTGATGTTGTGACATTCTTGGCAATTATTCACCTCCTCACACTTTGACCGAAATAAAAACATCATTAAATGTGAAAATGATTAAACTAACGCAGGATATTAATTTGGAGAATTATACGCTCATCTTGCCGTCGGTGGCGGTCGGAAACGTCGGCCAGTTGTCCGTCGATTTACTCGTTTCGAATCTTAACCTTTCCAAGATCGGTCAAATTTTTAGCGCGTCATTCGTGCCGGTCGTCGGCGCGAATGCCTACAATGAACATTCGAACGAGCTCATCACGGCGATCGACATTTACGCGGGGATCAAAGAACGTATTGTCGTTATACAAATCCGCTCGCCGTACGTGGGCGAGCTCGTGGAATTCTTCAACGAGCTGGCGCAATTTGTCACCGAGAAAAAGATAGCTAAAGTAATTATTCTAATCTACTGTTTCGACAGTGTCATAACTTATGAAATGTTTTTTTTCTCCTCACAGGTAATAATTCTCGCGAGCAGTCATGATTATGTGAAGAGAGAGGTCCAGCCGCAGCATCTCAAGTTGAGATACGTCGCGTCTCCTGGCATACGCTCCAAGATCGGCAAACTCTTTGAAGACCTCAAGTGGATTCCGCATCAACCGGGAGTCGCGTCCGACCTGACGAGTGGAGAGGAAAGATTGCAGATACCAGGGGGTGGCTTCGCCAAGAGCCTCTTCAAGTTTCTGTCCGATGCCGACATTCCTTGCACTGTCTTGTTCAAATTCTGCTCCGAGGGGGATAACATAGAGGACGCGATAGCTCTGGTGCGCTACTTAAATGAATGGATACGTGTGTTAGAAACAAGCGGTAGTGATAATTTGAAGTATCCACCGTCTTGGAAACACTTATTTGGGAAACCACCGTCGCAGGATATATATTGAATATGTATGGATATATTTTATATTCCGTTAATCTCGAAATAATAATATTTTTACTATGGTTATACAAGCGTATATTTGAATTTAATATTAGATCTAAAATAGGAATGTAATTTTTTGTGTATAAAAGTAATAAAGCTACAAACTTAATTTTTATACAGCTTTGCTATGTAAAAATCAAGATTACGATATATTTATATATACATATATATAAATTTAATTCTTTATGGTTTTCAATGTAAATGCAATAAATTGTATATACCAACTTCTCTATGACGAACATGGAAAAATGTCTTAAATTTTATTTTATCAAGTTTTATCTCCGAAGGATAAATAATACTTGTTTGAATACTTTGTTTAAACGTTTATTTTTTTAGTAACAAAAGAGTTTTCTACGCTAGAAGTTTGTACTTTGCGGAAAATGCCGAGTAGGACACAAGAATAGCTAAAGCAGCAGCTAAGAATTCCGAGTTTACCCAGGGACCGAGGAAAACACCGGGATTGTTGAGAACGACCACCGCCAAGGGATTCACGCTATCGGGATCCTCTCCATTCCTTATCGCTTTACGTACAGCGACGTATTTTTCCTCGTCATACAGTTTTATATAATAATCGCCGGATCTTGCCTTCTTAACGTCTTCCGTCCAAGATATCTGCGGCACATGCAAAACAATTTCATGAGTATTACATTATCATTGATGATTTCTACTGAAAGATCGAGTTAGATACTTTGTTTCAAATTCAATTTTCGATCAATAGTTTAAAACAAAAATAAGTAACTTGTTCAGTATCTCTAAATATGTCATTATTCTCGTTCCAATCGTGTAATTTACAATCTTTGTTTATTTACAGATGTACCTATCTTGATTCATTTATGTCAAGACAATAAGTGTCAAAAAGATTGTATTACCTGATATTTATTATCGGCGCTCAATCTGACGGCCGGCAACGTCTTGCCCTCGACTTCGGCGTACAAACTGATTCCCTTTACACCGTTGCTGCACTTTAACACGAATTGCATGGTAAAGGCGACGTTCGTGAGGACCGTCGCGTCCTCCGTCACATATGACGAAGCGACGATCTCGGGCTTCTGACAGGTCTCGGCGAGAGCCGCCGAAATTATACCCGTTAACGCGCACAAGAAAATAATTTTATTCATCTTGCAAGTTTTGTCGGTTCTCTCAAACAATTTGACAACTGTCGACGAGAAATGTTGGTTGGAGAATGCGCCTGATGCCAACGTGCGCCGACTGTGCGCCAATAACTCCAACCAGCCACCAACTGACGTGCCACGTCGATGAGATTGGCGTAACTCGTGTTTCCCTCGTTTAGACTACTTTCGATTGGTGCTTTGATCCACCACGTGTTTCAGACTAACCGCGCGGGAAAACTTGAATTATTATCGATAAATATTTATAATATACTTAAATAATAAGTTATTTTTTTTTAAATCATAAACTATTAAATTCAAATAGAGTTATTTAAAAAGATAATGGAAAAGTACAAAGAAGAATAGAAATATAATTGTAGGTTATATAGAGGTTATTAAAGAGGCATTAAATTATAAATTAATACATAACATAAAAATTATGTATTAAAAATTCTTTAATTATATAAATCGATGATTTATTTAAATATATATTTAACATTTTTATATTAACAGAGATACAATTTTAATATTACTTTAACAAATAATGAAATTTCTGTTTTACAGATGTAGATTAAAAATGTGTAGAGGTATTAAATTATAAACAGACAATCAATATAAAAATTAAAGATTTTTAGATCATATAAGGTGATTTATTTAAATTTAACATTCTTATATTAATAAAGATAAGATTTTAATATTATTTTGCAAACTGCACGAACTGATGAAATTTCTATTTCATTATTTATTTTTACCATTGTAGATATAATAATAATAATATTTATACATGTGAATTATTGAGTTAAAAATGTTTATTCCCTCAATCTATTTTACGATGTCTTCGTTCTGGCAGTGAGAGCGAGATGATGATGTAATCATTGTAATCCACCCGAGTCTACCATAACCTCAAATTGTAAAATTATACTTGCACCGTCAATGCGCGATTATTTGACTGATAGTACGATAAGTTCTGGTGTAATTAATATTTATTTATCTAGATTTATTTTTGTCGCATCGATTTTTCTATTCGCGCGACGATGACAGTCGAGAATGAGAAAGCGGACGAAGGAAAAAGGAATGAGAACGGTGCTGGCGGAGGAGCGGCCGCGGACAACGGCGATTTATGGGGATCTGATATGTATCCGGAGAGGAGAGGAGCGAAATTGAAGCGTAACTGGTGGAAGTGGTTAATTGGCGCTCAGGGACGAGAATCAATAGACAAAAACAAGTGCGAAGACAATGTTTATAGATGTATAAAAAAGAGTAAGACATTCTCTTATTTATATAAAAGGAAGTAGAAAGTGAATTAGCGATGCAAATTTATTTCTAATTGCTAGAACCTAATACTGTATTATTTCAACATGTTTTCCATTCATTTCAAATAGAATCTATCATATAATTTTACTGTTTATTTTATCTAGTCAAATCCAATATTATTTTTTCATCATTTTAATCATGTGTTGTTTCTAGGTCCTATAATAAAACTTATGATGGGAGCACTGAAGAGTTCTGGATGGTTTGTAACTTATTCTTTCATTTTGCATATATATGTGTATATTTATAATTTTATTTCGTTTACTGTTTACTAGATTAGATTGTTATTGATATTCCAGTGAAATAGATATTCGGCGACATATTTCTTGTGAGGTGTGTAATCCGATAGTAACTGGTGGATACGATTCAGAATTTAATCAGGTAAATATTTCTTTTAGTCGTTTAATTAAAATTTTATTTATGCCAAATGTTTTGCTGATGAAATATTTTGTATTATATGTTTGTCGACATGTCAAAAAACAATCTGTCAAAAAAAAAAAGATTTTTTAAATATATATTTGTATTTTGTATATTATTGATAATTATACATGCTAAAAACAATAACAACTTCTTTCCTTTACAGATAGTTGTCTGTCAAAATTCGGCGAGTAGTGAAAGCATGGTTCGGGGAGTTCTTTTACATGAAATGATTCATATGTTTGA